TCAGCAGTGTGCGGAGACAGGACAAGGGGAAATGGCCAGAAGCTGGAGCATAGGAAGTTCCGCACCAATATGCGCAAGAATTTCTTTACGGTGAGGGTGACGGAGCAGTGGAACAGGCTGCCCAGGGAGGTTGTGGAGTCTCCTTCTCTGGAGATATTCAAGACCCGCCTGGATGCCTACCTGTGTGACCTGGTGTAGGGATCCTGCTTTGGCAGGGGGGTTGGACTCGATGATCTCTGGAGGTCCCTTCCAACCCCTACGATTCTGTGATTCTGTGATATCTTGCTATAAGAGCTGGGTCTGGGAAAATCGTCCAGGTAGCTGCAACTAAGCAACTGTTCTGACTTAACATTTCTATCTAAGTAGAAGGAAACAGGAGCTGTTATGCCTTTGTGACTCCCATCTTCCCATGATAATAATTTGTCTATAGTAGGCCTTTAAACATTTGCTGTCTTAGCTTTTCCCAAAGTGCAATCATCTGCACTTTTCATGTGGACAGCTTAGAGCTTTAGAGTCTGAAAATTCAATGAGCCATGGATGTATCAGGATCCCATGTTATACAAAGTAAAGTAGGGTAACTTAGTACCTACAATAGGACCTCTTTCATGCCAGATGGGAACTTGGAGGTTCTGAGCATGCTATGAATTATGCTGAAATGTGGAAAAAGTCCCATGGAAAAATAGAAAGGATTGAGGTGCTGGCATAAAGCCACGAAGTAGGAAATTAGGTAATTAAAATCTACCAAGTGTACTTCAATGAAAATTCAAATATAATGTGACTTATTCTACTTCTTCTACTGAAGAAACAAATGATGAAAAAATAGAAATGAAGCTCTTTTTTTTTTCCTTAAAATTTCCAAGATAGATAACTAACCCATCATCTGTAGATTTATTTATGTCATATTGCACTGTTTGTGACTATTCATGCATTTAGTTCAATGTCATTCTAAAAGGATTGTCTTCTCCTTTATACAAGCAGAATTTGAAGGCATAAAAAGACAAAGGATACTTTAAAAAGTAACTTCCACTGGGACTTTGAAGTATTTGGAAATAAAATCTCAGTATGATTCACCCAAGAGTGCATGTGGATGAAGGTGACAGAGAAGGGAAGGACTGGCTAAGAAACCTTTATGTATACTCTCTAAGATTATTTAGCATTACTCACAGTAGGTCTAGGAACTAGAATCAAAATCTAAAAACTGAATTCAAATTTGATTCAGCAGACTGAGAAAAGATTTATTTTCTAGTGTTGATTCAGTTGAAGAAATGCCACATAGGATCAAGCAGTATGTATTCCTTGTGTTGGGATGAAACAGTGTTCTCCCTGTTCTGACTTCTGATTTGAAGGTCTTGCTTCTACAGTGATGTGTTTGATTCATTTCCAGGTTACAAAGCATTTCAAGATTGAAGAGTGACTTGCGTGAAAGATGGTAGATCCTGTGAAATTATGTGAGTCTTCTAGCTCTAAATTTATCTGGCCGCAGCCTGAAGAACCATCCCAGAAAGAGGAAGAAGAAAGCAAAGAATCAAAGATCAAATACTACCTGCTAACAGTTGTTACAGAAGACCGCCTTGAGGAGCTAGGTAATAAGCACATAAGATGTGGCAGTATGTAGGTTTTTATACAGGAGAACAGGGAGAAAAATGTTGACGATTGACCGGAAATCCTTCAGGTACAGGATCTAGCAATAATATGGCCTCATCAGTTGTCTTATCTTTAACATTCCTGAGTCTGGCAGTTCTAATAAATTTTATTCAGGTGTTTATACCAGAAAATCCACTTCACGTCTGGCACCTTACTAAAAAAGAACATGAAAATAGAAATTATGGAGACAGATTTCCTTCTTCGTCTTTAAAGCAAGAGGCTTTTGATTTAAACAAGGATAAAAGATTAATCTGCATTAATGCATTAATCTGGGGATTTGCATACATAACTGGATAAAATCCACTTTCTTCCTTGTGTTTGTCCTAAGGCATTACCAAGCAAGATTTTCAAGACTTTTCAAGGAACAGACGTGATGTAAGTCACATTATTTTTATAGAATAGAATGTAGAAAGCTGTCTGGTTTGTTACGTATCTCAGATACATAGTATACTAATTAATCTATGTGCTGAATTTTTAATTATTATTTGAAACAGAACATGTTTATTTGAGTTCAATTCAACGTTCTAAGCCTCTGAATTTCAAGAAGTCAAAATAATGGTTACAATGACCTCTTGTGTCTTTTAAAGATTGGTAAGATTGCTGTTCTTTCTTTCATAATAGAAAATAATATTAATGCCTTTGAAAACATCAAGCATAATGGGTTTCTACTCCTTTTCTAATATTGAACACAATGAAACTTGTGGTCTTAGTTGTACAGCCTGAATTCAGTTTAGGATTTTACATATGTAAGCATATTTAATTTTTTCCCACTGCAATTGTAAATTCTGAAAGCCGAGGGTAAGTGATTCACTATCACTAAAGTGTTAAAACTTACTTTTTTATTACATTTTATTTATTTCATATTTTTATACTACTCTGTTTAGAATTCTTAGCTCCAAATTGCAGGTGGCAAGGAGTTATATCTGCTGTTTGTAGACAATAGCAAAGTGGTTTTTTTTTTTTTTTTTAAATCTTCAGTGGCTGATAGACTTGGAAAAGAAGGGGAGAATCATGAACATGAGGGACTGGTACATGCAGAAGAGTACAAGGTATCATCAGGAAGTCAAAGAGAAAACATCTTCCAGAACAATGACCAAGGTTGCCAGAAGGGTGAAAAGTCTCAAAATGGCAGTTTGCAAACAGCCTTTGAGGAGAAACAGACAGCGGTATCCAAGAAGAGATGCTGTAATGTGGGAAACTTCCAAGACAATGTGATCTCAGGGAGACCTTCACCAGGACAGAGTTCATATGAATGCGCTGTGTGTAAGAGATGTTTCAGCCGCAGCTCAAGCCTCTTCAATCATCTGTGTATCCAGACTGCAAAAACACTTCACAAATGCACACAGTGTAAGAGAGTCTTCAACTTCAACTCAGCTCTGATTCAGCACCAAAAAATGCACCATAGGCAGAAAATATCATTAGAGTGTTCAGATTGTGGTGATCGTTTTACTTGCAGATCTGGCCTCATTATCCATCAAAGGACTCACACAAGGGAGAAGAGGCCCTATATGTGCTCACAGTGTAATCAGTGTTTCTACCATGCTTCTGAACTGGTAACTCATGCTCACATGTGAATGTGATCCTTTGAGTCTCAGTAAACTGGAGCTACAGGAATAAGAAAGAAGCACCAACCTGTCTACATTTTTTTTTTTTTTTTTTTTTTTTTCCACCAGATCTAACATAACGTTGTGTGCAGGTAATGTCTGAGATTGGCAAAGCAAAGAAATAGGTAAAATCATAAATATCGCCAGCTGGAAGAGACCCACAAGATCTTTGAGTTCAATTCCTGGATTCAGACAGGACTATCCAAAATTCAAATCATATTTCTGAGAGCATTGCTCAAATGCTTCTTCAATTCTGGTAGGTCATCTCTAATGCAAAGAGTGTGGCTGGAAGATCAGCTAATTGCTAAGAGAGGCCAGTGGCTGAAGAATGAATCTTCCTTCTAACATTGTAAGTTTCTGTTAAGATGGAAACAGGAGTTTGAATTTATTTTAAAGATGGTATTTGAGAGAGAAATAGGACTTCTTACTAGAAAGATGAGAACTAGGTACTTATATTGGTACAGTTTTGATTCTAAGCTCAGCTGCAGGATGACCATGTGCTAATTACTTTATCTATGCCTTTATGACTTGTTTTAAAATAAATGTTAACTTACCTTAAGTTTCTCACTGTAGAATGTGGACTAATGTGTCTGGATACTGAAGTTGCAGGAGACAGATGTGTTGAGTAGTTTAAAGAGCAACATTCTGAAAGCGTAGATGTCTCTTTCATTGGCTTTTAAAAGGAAAATATTCTAAAACTGTGCTTTAGAAGTTTTTCACCTTTTAATGGATTTTGGGTTGTGAACTTGCAAGGCATTTCTGAACATTAGCCTTTTGTAATCATCCAAGATTTCTGAAGGCATCAGCATCTGATCAAACATCAAAATAAACAATTCTTTCCCTCCCAGTGCTTATAGATCTCTGCAAGTCCTTAACATCAGCAGAACATCTTTGATGCTGATGTGAGGAGTCATCTTCCAGAAATGTTTAATATCCAGCTTACCTAATATCTAGTTGAGGAGAAAGGAATCACTTAAGAATTGGATTTAAAGACAGACGCATCAGACGAGCGTCTCTATTGTCATGGAAATCATCGGGATATTCAAACCAAAAATAAAGAGGACTTTTATTATGCAGTTACAAATATAATGTAAAATTTGGCAGTTACTAAGAATTGAAATGACTGCCGCATTCTCTCTGTCCCCTCTCAACTTTTACCAAGTAGTCTCTGCTAAAGCTGGACCCCATTTTATGGGTCCACAGATATCAGAGTGTTGATGTACATGACAGTTCCTTCCCTATAGAAGTTTCATCAATGTTCACTGAGACGAAAAGATCAAGAAAGAGACTCTGAGGCACCAAAGCTATCATTACAGCCTGCTTTCTTGATGTGAGTCCACCTTGCTTAAGTATTGTGTTAGCTTTGCTGTGGACATAATTACCAGTAATAATGCCAGAAGATCATTTTTGTATATTAATAAATGTAAAATATATTGAAGTTGTACTTGTTTTTACCTCCTTTCACAGAACTTGCCATCCAAAGTGTCTAGCAAAAGTTATCAGAATCAGGAAATCGTGATATTTTAAAAATATTTCTAAGATATCATGGGTATCTCAGATATCTATTACAGAATCACAGAAGACGTTGGAAGGGACCTCTAAAGGTAATTGAGTCCAATCCCCATATAATGTTATCTCTGATTCAAGAATCACTTTATGCACATTTTTAGAAACCTGAGTTCACTTAATCTTCTAGCTGATGTATTGTGTTTTGTTCTGATCTCGTATAAAATTATTGGCAGGAATTATTGGCAGTATATGCAAAAAAAAAAAAAAATCTTTTCTTTCTTGCTCGTTTAAATAAATGATATTTGTTAGAATAGTAAATATGAATTATGTGAAAGAATTTTACTATGAGATGAAGCTTCAGTTGTGTGTTTTGACAACTGACTACTTCTGTTTTACTTTTTTTTTTTTTTTTAACTTCATTACAGTGAATATAATCTTGATGTTTTGGGGCTTTAATCTTTATTAGAGTGACTACATAAGTAAGTCTGTAAATTGTATCTGGACAATACGTAAGCATCATTAACCTGAAATTCATTAAAGGCTAAGTATTACAACCCTTGTTTGTGATGGATTGGTGATACTTGACAGTTGTATTGGTGAGGAAAAGCATATGCTCTTATACATGAGCATCCACCAACATCTGCATTTCTCAGCCAAGCATGAACTTTTGATACCAATGACAATGTCTGCACTCTGCATTTTGCAACTATTAAATTGGGTATTTAAATTTAAATTGGGTATCAGTTTTCTGTCTTACTTTAATGAGTTTTGGATCAAACAATAAATTTAACATTTAATGAGAGTGACCCCTTAAGAATTGATTACAAGTTGGGGTGGGTGTCAAAAGGATAGAGCAAGGCTCTTTATGTGGTGCCCAGTGTCTGGACAAGGGGGTAGTGGGAACAAACTGGAAGAAAAAGCTTCATCTGAACATAAGAAAATACTTACTTTGAGGTTGACAGAGCACTGAGACATTGAGGTTGTGGAGTCTCCTCCTCTAGATGTATTCAAAACCCGCCTGGACACTTCCCTGTGCAGTCTGCTTTAGGGAACATGCTTTAGCAGGGGAGTAGGATTAGATGATCTCCAAAAATCCTTTCTAACCCCTATGATTGTGTGATTCTGTGGTTTAGTGCCTATCTGTCTCCATGTCTAATTTTTGTATCAGATCCTAATCAGGTGCATGTTATTGTTTCTTTTCCACTCTGAAATCCTCTCTTAGTTTTCTCACATCTTCCTCATGCTTAACTGACATTTCAGATATGAAATTTTATATCAGATAGCAACATTATTGGAGTAGATAAATGCAGGTCTTTGTGGCTGTTCTAGAACATTGGTAGTTAAACGGGTAGTACTTGTGGTCTTTCTTTTTGTTCTTGAAACAATTAACTTTGATTTTTGAGTGATCTGTTAAGCTTAACTCGCAGCACAGAGATGAAGAGAAATCCTGATTGATTTGGACTAGTAGATAGAGCATCTGGAAGAGTAGTAAATCTGAAAAGTCTAAATGCCTATATTCAGACCCTCAAAGGGGTGAAAATTTTGGCATATTGCTCTAGAATTAATATGTTCTCCTGGAACTAAATACCTTCCAGATCTGGAAGCAGGAGTTATAGATATGTTTCAATTGTCTGGAGCATATGAACAGTTTCTTGCACAGGCATTTTCCATTGTTCAGAGTACAATAGTTATTTTATTAATAATTTAATTAAATCATATATATTGCTGACAATTTGTAATTAACTTAGACTATGTGGAGAGTTTGAGGTGTGCTCAATATTTCTTTATAAAGAGCAATTAGGATAATAAGTTTCCTTTTGATAGTAAATGGTAAATGTTGGAAAATATCAATTTTAAATTAATATCTAATAGACAAGCTATTTATTTGATAGATTTCCATACAAATTCATTTGGTGTTCAAGTAATAAAGTTATCTCATTTCAGAGTCATGATTCTTATAAATCTAGGCAGTGGTGGTTGGGGGGAAAAAAAGGCAGGCTTCACTCACTACATCAATCTGCTCATATATAGTAGAAGGTTAACCTTTATTTCTTCCCATTTCAGCTGGATGACCTGCTAACTGAAGTGTCAACAGGTTTTGTTTTGTTTTGTTTTGTTTTTTTTTGAGGAAATCACTGCAGTGTCTGAACTCATATTGCCAGTGTGGGTGATCTTATCTGTATTTGGTCACTGAGATAATTTTTTTGTACAAAAAGAAAAAGGCCAAAATGATTATTTCTATCATCCAGATAATTTTCTAGTTATTTGCCTTCTAATAATGTGGTGTCGGTTTCTGGGATAAGATCATAATTATGATTCAGTCCTCAAGATTAGGCTCTTAAAACCTGAAAACAAACGCTGCAGGAGAGATAAATTAATTTCAGACTAGAAATTAAGTAAAGATTATGCTATTAAATTGGAGCCACTGTTACCAAGAATGGCTTTTCTTGTAGAAAGTGCTTGTAGAAAGTGTAGAGTGCAACCACTCTTTACGATGGACTCCATTAGGGCTGCTACTCCAGAATGGTGGGCGACAAATGCACGTTGCTCTAGACATTTCTGATTGCAGCTAGGGACAGCAAAGAGACATTTGTTTAGGAGTGCCACTCTCCTTCTCCCCTATGGTCCCAAGAAGGTGTCTCATAGCAGTCAAGTTATTACACTCAGTGTGTCCCTCCAAAATGTTTTCTTCTGAGCTTCATTATTCTAGTAATGCCAGTAGGGCAACATACCTCTCTTAGCAGGCTTTTTCTTTTGTTACTGTAATTATCTTTACGTGCCGTGTGTGGGGGACAATGTCTCTCAGGATGGAAGATTGAAAATATGGAAAAGGACACTCAGTTACTGAGAGTAAATACCCCTTTTTCCTGTATTATTGACTAGAAGCTAAACTACATAAACTCAAACTACATTTTGAATTTCTTGGATTTTACATAATCTTATGGGATTCCAATGGTGTGATTTTGAATGTCAGTATGAGTAATGCATATCCTGTGCATCAGATCTGAGATGTATGTGGCTCTGGATAGGTCACTGAAGGGCCTATCTAAAATTTTCTACAACCTTTCTAAGTGAATGAGTTGGGACCTTAAAATATAATAAAATAGAATACTAACTGCCAGTATACTCATGTTTTGTGGCTAATTTATTTGAAATGACTTCTGAGAAATCTATTGAGAAATAAAAACCGATGTTACTGAATAGATGAAAATTTATTAGTGTAGACAGTATTTACTTACACAAATGTAAGAAGTTAAGACATAAGATGTTAAGATTGAACTCAGAAGAAATATTGTATTTATAATAAACTGACAATGAGGCCTGAAGGGTTTCATCTCACTTTGAGTTTTGTTACAGTGAATTTCATGAGTCTTCTTCAGTGGTTTGGGTTGGAAGGGACCTCAAGGATCATCAAGTTCCAGCCACCCTACCACAGGCAGGGTTGCCAGCTGCTAGATCAAGTACTAAATCAGATTGTCCAAGGCCCCATCCAGCCTGGACTTAAACACCTCCAGGGACGGGGCAACTGCAA